ATTGAATTTGTCCGTAAAAGATTAATTTGACCTGGAAATGCTGTAGTCACTATATTGGTAAACCTAACTCATTATCTGTAGTAAGACTGGTATTAAGATATTATAGTACTTGGTCCACCACAGGGAGCTCGCGCATTAACTAAGCCTAAGACTCAGGCAACATCAGTGATGAACACTTTAATTCAGGGCAAGTGACCCGATCCGAATTGTCGTCAAAAGGCCTCGGGAGACGTCTCCGGAAAATCACACTATAACCTATGGACTCGGAATCCGAGTTTCGGATCGAGATTTCCGAGACCCGGAGATCTGTAACCAAATTCTCGGACCTCGGACTCGGAATGCGGCGTTCCGAGCGCCTTAGCAGAGCTAAGTTAGCACTTCAACAGGCTTATGAACCAGGAATCCTGGCCGCGTGGGTCTGGCAGGGTGGGCCGGACAAAGACACTCACGGACCCAGAATGTAAATGAAACTCAGTGAGTCACTTACTGTGAGTGTGCCAGCAGTACATGTCTGCACCCTCTACGGTACTCGCTCCCGAGAGTGATGGGATCGAGAGAAAATATAGAAGCTCCTCCTATCTGTGACCATGCCATGATATACGGAACACGGGGAAGCTTCGTCCGCCTTACGGTAAGATCTCCACAGTTCGAATTGCTATCGAAGCTCCGCGGCCATCAGCGTCCGATTCTAACATCGGTTAACTACTACACCATTTCCAGACCTACTTAAATGAAGCCTAGACCAGATTAGTAAAACTTCAGACCAATTAAATAAAGCCCAGACCAAAATAGTAGAACCCCAATCAAATTAAGTGAAGCCCAGATCGAATTCACTAGAACTTAGAGTGCTCGAAGCTCAATACGGTACCGGGTTACTTCCAAGAGGGAAGCACAGGCTCGTGATAGCGATAGACAGATAGCGGAGTCAGTGTGCGCTATCTCATTAGGTTGAGAGATGTTGCTGACTCTTTGAGAGTCTTGACTCAAGGGAGAACTTGCCATGCTAAGGAGTATGTATGACAAGTTCAAAGGCTATCGCGAGACGCCTATTGTGCTCACCGGTGGCTGCACGTATACGCATAATGAATGCTGCTCATTACGCTAGCACAAAGCACACTCTGCCTTTGGGGCAGTACCCTGGTACAAGTAAACAACGATAAGAAACTCGGAAGGCCAAACGGAATCGATAATAACGGTATAGCTAGGTAACCAGCTACAGGTCAGTCGATCAGATGAGAAACAGCTCATTCCAGCAAACGGTCACTGTTCACGGCGTGAACAGTTCACGCAGTTTACGTGTACACTCTGATGAACCGGCTCATGTCCTCTTTGGAACGATCCGATTCACTTTCCCAGTTGAGAGTCAGGAAACGTGGAAATTATAACTCGGCTCTCTCGTATTGAGACATCTCTACGTTGTGATAGAATAATATGTCGGAATCATACGATAGAGTGCACCGAAGTAATCTGGCGTGCACTGCTCTGTTACAAAATAATGCAGTTATTGGCGATAAGTTATCGCAGTTGTGTATATGAGCTCGAATGCGTCATGAGTATAAGGCTACCCGTATATTAGCGATGTCTTCCGCTAGCAGCTTGAGGGGGTCATTCCCTCATCTACCAACTGACCACTAAGGAAAGAATCATTGAAGTCAGTTGAGTCTTCGAGTGTCTCGCAATCGCTTTTTCCCAATGTCCTTGAAGACGATCATCACTATCTTGGGCATCTTATCGATGGTTCAGTGCTTCCCACCCAGCCCGGAGTACTGCACCGTCCCGAACGTGAACTTCACGACGACTATCTTCTTCCACGTAGGCGCTCCAGACTTGCTCGAGATGCTCTACTTCTCCAAGCAGGGAGGGGAGGAGGGCACTAACGTGACTGGTACCATTCCTTGGACAGTTGATGCTAATACTACCACACTATTCATGAATACCACTAATGCAAACTTGACTTCCTTCGCTGACTTTATGCACTTCAATGTGACCGAATGGGGTAGGATTCCCTACAACGACACGATAAATGCCTTCACACTGTCCGTGAATGGGACTCCTACTGAAGCATATTCTGGCAGGTGTCCGAAGGCTCGCTAGTTTCGTGTAATGTGGTAGATCGCTCATGAGCATCTCATTACTCCGTTTAGATTTTTGGAGGTTGGCAGAAGGAATTCAAGTTCTTCCCCGAAGCTATTTCATTTCACTCAATAATTTCCCCCACTCGGCATTATAGAAGCATCATTGGGTTTTCGGGTCAGGTGTGGCCGTTCTGTCGAGGCTATATCTTACAATTTTGAGCCGTAATGCTCTCGTCCGCGTTCGAGTCAAGTCAATAGGGCTACACCGGAAGTCATGGACTTCGAATGCACAGTCGTATTATCTTCTCACACGAGTGAGAATTATGGCCCCTTATGTCGGAACAATTCCTTGTGTGTTACCCTACACGAAGCATGTGGACTGTACACCTTTTCAATCTCAAATTCAACAATCGAAAGAACAAATTAGATGAATGAAATTTGATTTTCGACAAGTGAAAGGTGTTTTTCGCGAAATGAAAGTTCAAATTCGAAATGAAAGTTCGATTCTCGTGGACCGGTTGAAAATGAAAGTTCAAATTCGTAAATGAAATTTTTGAATTCGGAAACGCAAGTTCAAATTCGTCGAACACAAGACCAATTTCGACCAATGAAAGCTCACTTTCATCAACGCGATCAACTCTCGGAGGTCTCAGCAAAACCGTCACTGATACAATAACAAGTGGGAAAGTGGCCATACCGCCTTACCTTAACTCCGTCTCTGGAAAAGGAATAAATTCTGAATGACAGGAAAGTCACGCGCCACAAAATTGAAAATCTCAACTATTGGAGATAAATATGTGCTAATTTTCTACCTGAGGGCCATAGATTATCTCAAAGTTCTTGAAATGGTAAAATTTTGTGAGAAAAATCCATTTACTGAACGGCATGTGCAAGGATCGAACCCACATCCATCCTCATCAACGTCAACGGCCACTACGCTGACCCTGATGCACAAATCTGTGACATTATCCGCCAGATCTTGCTTTCGGATCAGATCCGGGAGCACTATTAATCTGCTTACCTGAATCAGATCATAATAATATCTGGAAACTATGATCCTGATCCTGAACCCTGTTGCATTGGGCAGAATCTTGGTCCACGATCCTGATAAGCGATCCATGATCCACATTTATAGTCCGGGTCCCCGATCCCCGAGGAAAGTGCATGATTGGTTATCAGTGGATCACGCACATGGGAAATTCTATGCCTCCTCGATGCAACTCCGGAGATCCATGATTTATTTGCTCAGTGGATAAAGCTGAATCGTCCCCATCATCGAAGGATACGAGGCCGTGATCCGAGAATAGTCTCACACGCAGAAATTTGCACGTTACGCATTTTCGAGACTGAATCCTGTTATAGCGATATCTCCGAGCGATAATATCGCTAAACGGTTCGACAAAATTCGATAAATTTCAGCGATAGTATCTCTGTGATACTCAAATTTGATCCGTTTGAGTGGCATACCATGGCGCACATTTTTTGAACACAAGAACTACAGGGACAAACTTAGTGGTCACTACATATGCGAAGAGCTTGATGGCATGATCAGCACAACTCTCGACACTGTCTGCTGCTTCGACAGCGCATTCGGTCCACCCGACATTTCCCTCTATCAGTTTCAGGCTCCCGCCTCCCTTTCATTTCTTGGTAGTTGTGGAGGTGTCAGCGAGCCAGAATAACCCTGGCGCACTTCTCGCCTGCTTCAATCTCAATTTGCCGTTGCAAATTGCACATGACCTCTTGAGTTTCCCGAAGCTTCGCTCAATAGCAGGGTCTGGTATTGAGCGACGCTTCGGGTCTGCCTAGCAGACCTCACACATCTATGAGCGATATTGAACGCAGCGTTCGGAACACTCAGCGATGGCGGCACGCGACAGCGCTACGCTATATTACGTAAACGTTGAACGTTCAGAGCATGCCTTCCGCAAGAGAAACACAGTCTGCGTATGACTCTGTGTCGCAAGAAGTTCGAAGAAGTTGCACCTCTGAACGAGCCCACTGGTACTTGAACATGTAATATCTGTTGACAACCTCAGCCGCACGAGTCACCATTTCTACGGTTTCAGCGTAGTTACTCTTGATAGAACAACGCAGAAGGCAATATTGTAAGGGTGTTATTTTGCAAGTCGGTCGGACTGACTCGGCTCGCGCCTTGATTATATCACGCACCGTGCATCGCTCCGCTCAAAGTCGTAGACGACAGTCGGAAGATCCGGGTCAAGCGCTCACATCAGTGATCCATTCATTGTCTCAGCTAAACATGAGCAGGCGAGATCTACGTGTGATCCGGCTCCACGGGTCATCTACTTCATCGTGATGAAGGACACTTTAGACAAAACCTCAGAAAATACTGTAAAAAAGAATACCCGATCCACCCGTCCAATTTTTCTCTTAAGATCAGTCATGGATCAGCATGCGCATACGGGCCCAGCACATATATACACCCTCAATTTAACAGTCAAATTTCGACTGATGAACTCACATCAGAATCGTAGCAGATCCGGAGCGCTACCAGCGCACACAGAATCTGTGTCACAGATGATCTATGATAGATTGCCCGCCTGAATATCGCGCTTCAACACGAATCTCTCAGTTGACATTCACGAGTAAGGATTCATGTTCTCTTCCGACCTGACAGGGTACCGACACGAACGAATCAAATTTCCCCCGCACCACGAGACTCACCTTTCCAGTGTCACAAACACACCGCTACGCGTCTTCGTCGAATCATCATAAGAGTTAGCTTCTCGAACAAACCAATCTTTCGACAGGCCGTGGCAGTGTCCATGACAGAGGGAATTCGTACGACATGAAATGACCTTTGCCCTTATAAAAAATCCACATTGAGCAGAACAACGCTGCAGCTAGCACAGAAAAAAGGCGTTTATCATTCACATTACCGATTGATATTGTTCGCATATCAGTAACCATAACTGCCGTCACTTCTAGGACTCCACGCCGGTTTTACCATTAACGCCCAAGGTCGATACCTCCCCCCAAATCGAAGGCCCCTATCTCCACGAGGATGGAGATACACCATACAGCCGGGCTCTAATGGGACGAACGTCGATCCTTGAAAGGGGTGCGCCTCGAGATCATCAGGTAACTGCTCTGAGACCGGTGCCTTCGCTTCCCCTCGAAGAATTTGCTCTGAGGAAGAATCAGGATGCAGATAAAATTTAGAAAATTAAAAATTATCAAATTCCGGATCTGTTTACAGCTTAGGTGGAATGTGTAGAAGCTCAGCACACCGCGAACTGGGCAGTACGAAATTTACTCACATCCGAAACCGTAGGAAGTCTCGATAAACCCCTCCGTTATCCTCACCCCAAGTGATATCATCCTCCTTGATCGGCATCAAACGTAACCAAGCAGTAGTCGGATCGGAGTAAATCGATCCTTCCAAGGTCTCGCACATCGGCACTCTATATGGTATATCGTTATGACGCTCCCGAGCGGCTTTCTTCGGAACTGATGACGATTTACTCGACATGCTGTAAAGATTAACCTACTTCGAAATGGTAGAAGATTCAGATCTGGGAAATATAGTCTCCACTAATACGAGGTGATCACACCCAAGCAGCTCGCAATTTCTCGATTTATCTATAGTAATTGTATTTACGTTTTTAGAGTATACGAGTCACGAGTGAAACGTTCATCACACTTAACCCTTTTCTTGATAGACATGATGGTGTGCTAAGATCACCAAAGTATCTCCAGTGGCGAGATACGATAAATTCCATAGATACAATTGTGGATGCATATTCCGTGCAGCAGGGCGGGATGGCACGAAACCGAACCTCTTTTGTATCTTGCGCACTGAACCTCAAGATACCTTCATAAGGCGAATCGCATCGGCTAGAGTATCTTCTTTTTCCCCGATGCACGCTTGACCTGTCTTCTATAATCACCCTTAAGCATCAAAGTCGCTGATAATTGACGATTTCAACAACCAATATTCCACAGTGAAGAGCACATCGTTATGTTAATCCATGTGGAGACGAGGCTCAAGGAGCTCCGGGTGTGTTTTACATAGGTTTTCAACTGTACAACACGCCGAGATCTGCTGACCCTGTCGACTGTGTTTTATCTCTTCCCTTCACGTCTTATCGCACACAACGAGTTTGTTTCCTCCTATACCGTAGATCACACCAATATTAATGAACACGTGAAATCACAGCATTAATGCAAGGCTAGAATCGGAATAGATAAGTAGTTATAATTAAGCGGTCTGATTGGATCGATTAGAATGGCGCGCGCTACTTACAGCTATTTTATTGTTCGATTTCACTTTCGATTTCTGTTGTCTATCATAATCAATGGTAGGTTATCAGTGATGATGGTTATTATTAATATACGCTCCGAAGCCTCTCTAGAGAGCTCGTGCGGAATCATTAAATTCAAACTGAACTACTCTCTTATAGTAACACCATGCGCACATCTGCTGATGTGAGGCTAATTGCAATTGTCGTTGCAACGGATTCGTTTGGATCAAGTGTCCATGAATACAAACTTGTTTGGAAGCAATTGACCTCGTATAATAATAATTACAGTTGAATCTTCTCGAATGGCAGAAGTGTTTAGAATTCCAATGGTAATTATAGAGGAAACTATGGGAATGATCGATTCCAATGGTAATTATAGAGGAAACTATGGGAATGATCGATTCCAATGGTAATTATAGAGGAAACTATGGGAATGATCGATTCCAATGGTAATTATAGAGGAAACTATGGGAATGATCGATTCCAATGGTAATTATAGAGGAAACTATGGGAATGATCGATTCCAATGGTAATTATAGAGGAAACTATGGGAATGATCGATTCCAATGGTAATTATAGAGGAAACTATGGGAATGATCGATTCCAATGGTAATTATAGAGGAAACTATGGGAATGATCGATTCCAATGGTAATTATAGAGGAAACTATGGGAATGATCGATTCCAATGGTAATTATAGAGGTAGAATCGCGGTAAACAACCCTGGACTGACTCGAAGCTGTTGATCTAAGTAGCCATGATATACACAACAGTTGAGTGAATCCAATAGTTAAATCGATAACAAACGTACCAAATTTAATTATAGTTATTATCTTATATATCAATATATTTATAATGTTATAATTATTAATAATTACTATTGGTATTATGTGACCACCGATATCCCTATTATTTATATTAATATCATGTTAATAAGTTAGAGACTTGCAAGCTTCACTAGTGTTTTCGAATAAAGCCGACAATACAAACTAACTCGACAAACTGAATATTTTAAAAGTAGAAGGGAAAGATGCTCAGAGGAATTATCAGTTTTCTGTGGCGTTTCGTGAGCATTTGGGCTCAACTAATGCAACCATTGTTAAAACCGTTTGATGATCACTAAACTCATTCTGAACAAACACTTCTACAGCGGTATTAGTGTCTTATCAAACCTTGCAAGTTCTCATATTCGCGCTCGAGAAGCTCTTCACAACTCAACTTTTAAAGACAACCTCGTGCCGTTTTTTTGTAGTTTTTTTTCTGGTGTGTAGCTTGACCAGCAGGAGTTCCACACAGGACACACCTCCTACTTCCCCACCACTACTAATACGCAAAAAAAGACACTTTTGTAGAAACTGATGACATAATTAGTTATTATCATCATTATCAAAATCGAACTTCAATCGACGCAACAGTTCAGCGTCTCGAGCACCACCAATGCGTTTGATATCCGCGTCGGACCAGTCGTAATTCCCCTTGCCGTTCTTCACACCAAGTCGACCCTCAGCGACCAACCGTTCACTCCGATCATCGTGGGTATCCCTAAAATGCAGCAAAAAAATACTCAAAAAATACAAAATTTTCGCAGTTACTTTCCGAGTTGAGGGAAAAATCTCGCATGAGTGTCCTCAACGAGATCAAGCCCGGCAAAGTCGTTTTGCTGGAAGGGTCCGATCGTGTTAAAACGACGGCCAAAACCGTTGTAAACGACCGAGTCGATCGTCTCGGGTGAGGCGACACCCAACTTGACGAGATGGAGGCATTCACGGTAGAGAGCTGCTTGTAGGCGAGCGCAGACGAAGCCGTCGATCTCCTTATTCATCTGAGGGGAAAAATATCAGAAAAAACAGGAAAATATCGACCTGAAAATTCGTGATACCGAAAAAATTACCAAAAATGTCCGTAAAAAATGACGACACAGATCTTGAAAAAACGACAAAAAAATACCAAAAAATCCTCAAATTCGCTGAAAAATAGCATAAAAATAACGAGAGTGAATACTCACCACTGCTGGTTTCTTGCCGCAACTTTTTAAGAACTTCTCAACTTTCTCAACCGCATCACCATCAGTTTTCTGACCAGGGCAGACCTCAACCAAAGGCACCAAGTAAGCTGGACCGATGAAGTGAGCGGCCAACAGGCGTCCAGGCTTGTCGAGTTTAGAAGCGATTTCCGTAACGGAAAGACTACTAGTGTTGGTGCACATCACAAAATGTTCCTTTTTGCAGGCATTTTCAATCTGTTTGAAAACACTCTGTTTCACACCAGTGTCTTCAAGTACGGCCTCAAAAACAAAATCGGCGTTTTTTACTGCGGATTCGATCGACTCAGCAGCATAGATCTCGCCAGGCACAGCAGTAGGGGGAACATGATTTTCCCTTAGGAATTCTCGTTGATTGATAGCATTCTCAACACCAGTTTTCAAAGCTTCTGAGCTCGTATCGAACATATGCACGTGATGGGGACCACCCGCAGAGATGCACGCGGCGATACCGCTGCCCATGAGCCCACTACCGATAACGGCGACTTCCATGATGAACAAAAAAAAGACGGTAACTGAAAATTCACGTTGCTTTCATTCGTACACTTCGGGAACTGCTAAGCTGGGTAGCAGTTGAGGAAATCCAACATAGATCTCAACAACACTTTTTCGGAAAAATGGAAATGATGACGTTTCGTGCGGAGGAAATACAGCTGAGGAGAACAAGGGGACATTTTGTGTTCACTCGTAACACAACAGCTTCCAGTAGCGTCGTCGGCCGACTCAAACCCCGGAATAACTGGTGGCAACTCAACCATTAGAACATGGGAAGTGAGAGGCTACACCGACACCGGAAAGACTTGGCAAACGGTCTCATGGGGAAGGGTGCAATAAACGGGGCTGGTAGTGCACGTGTCACCTTTCGAGGTTTGAGTCAGCCAACGCTACATCTTCCTCGACGAGCCTTTTGTATTGTTAACAGCGAAGCGGCGAGCGGAGCATTTCCTCGTTCGAGTTGTTCCTCCACGACTACACCAGTTGAGTTCTCGAAACACATACCACTCCAAATAGTGTAGTTTATACAGGGCCCATCCTTCAAAACCGGAATATCAGCCAACCTCGAAAGCAGTACTATTTTGAAGATCTCGTCGACTCAGCTCTAGACTTCGTATATTGAACGATATGGAGAAAGCTGTGTAGACTCCATTTCTGGAGTGTTTCTCTTTATCGATGGTCAAGCGATATGCAACAAAATTTTTACGGAATGGTAAATCTGATCTTTCCAGTAAGTCGAACCATGCTTAGCCGCGTATACAGCAAAATGGGCGCTATTAGCACTTCTCCACACACGTTTCGATAGAGAGTAAAATGATGACCATTGGAAAGAAGAGCTCGCCGAGTGCTTCAGAATGGTTGCTGATATTCACGTGCGTTGAGAAATTACCATCACTCTGTATATCCTGCATAGAATATGAATATGATTACTCTATCGTCCAATAGTTGTGTGGTGTGGAATCCGTTCTGCCCAATTTGTCCCTCCTAGCTATGGCTAGTAGAAGGTTGTATTATTGCTGTTGTATTCATCTTATTCCTCCAAATAGTAACGCTCAACGTCAACAGGATCTGTGGTGTCGAACAACCCAACGAGTGATCACATATACTCCATGTTCATAGAATCGATTGTTGGTCGTATTATTCGTGTAATATGCAACTCTGGAAACAATTTTGAGTTTCGAAATCGGTTTATCGAACAACTCCATACCCTCATAGCCGTGCGGCATCAATTCTGTACAGTTACTGTTTGTCACTACTCCATCATCACCATTACTGCGAATGATCTCTTCATCCCTACAGTGCCACCATAACATCACCAAAGCCCTACAATCTTCTTATGACTACCATTAACGCATCGGGGCCCCCGATTCGGGGGTACTCCTATTGCCCTTCTACCATCACACTACATCACTGATGACTGGAGTCTTGATTACTACTCCTCTTAGGTGCACTTGTCAATGGCCTTCTACTACGATGAAATAGTGTTCATGAGTCCTGACGCTGACGCGCGCGCCATGATGATCGATTTTACTTCTCCTATTATAGCACCTTAAAAGGATTCCCCCCAAAATTTTAACACTTTTTTTATTTTAGGGATTTTTTGCGGTTAAGGGCTATATGCATTCAGGGAGTTTCGAACCAGGGACTTTCCCAAGACTAAAAACCTCGCCTACCACTACACCACTACTACTCAACAATCAACTACACCAGACACCAACCAATCAGAACTGTTCCTAGAGAGCTCATCAGAACTACTCAACGACTCTTGCCAAACGGAATATAATTGTTACAACAACTGCGTATTATAACTGCGATCGAGCTCATATCATTTTTCCAAGTCCGTCTTGTGCACCCTAAGAGAACAAAAATCCTCATTTGGGAATTTCACTAAATCACAGAATGAAAATTCTACTTTTTACTGCGCAGAATTTCCACTTTACCAACCTAAAAACTCGCGAAAAGTAATTCCAAAAAAATTCTAATTATTATTCACTCACTTTTCAATTTAACTGCAATCATTTTACACAGCGATTTTCGCAAGTCCTCGCAAACGCGGGCAACCACCATCAAAAATCAAAATCATATTCCTCCAGAAACACATAACGTCTCGACGGGAAAACTCCTCATAAATTTTTCACATATTTCTTGATCAGTTCATCATGTAAATTCACACGTCACATTACGAACATCGTTTGCCCCCCCTATTTTCACAGCTTTAATATCCTCATTTCTCAGCAACACCCCCACAACGTTTTTTCGAGCATTTACGCATTAAAAATCTCCTTCAAAAATTTTCTGGTTCAAACGAATTCCCCCAAAATTTAATGAAATTCCCCTGATATTTTTCAGAGATACTGTTGACTACCTGAATGTGAGCGAAACTCGCGGGTAGTGCTTCGAAATATAATTCTCTTTGGTGATCTGATGTAGATAATTCTTCTGCGTGTCACCAGCCATGATAACGACACTTCCGTTCTCTAGTCGAACATGGTATGCCGTATCGGATCTAACACAACAATGACTTTTAATACAACAATAACATTTATTTTTTTGCACAATTTCTTCACATTAACATTTTGCATACGTGTGAGAACTTACTATTCACAACTGGTAGTTTTTGAATCATTATCATCATCAACACCAGTGGGGGGATATGCACATGGTCAACAACTACAATGTGCAAATTGTGAGGGAATTTTGGGAAATTTTTCCTTGCTTTTTTGTACACTTCTACTATAGGTAGTAGGGAAACTCCTGGGCTCAGCTGAGGAAAGTAAATATATATTCCTCCAATAGTGAGAAAAATAAGCGGTGTTGCAGAGAATACGAAAACAGCGTGGAGGGAAAATATGCACATGGTCATCAACTACATGTGTTGGTGATGATGAAAATGTAAAAATTTCAAGAAAATTGTGTCACCAGTCGCGAATGTATATAACAAAAAATTCTACATCTCAAAGAGACTTTCCCAACTTCTTTTTAATTTCCGCCAAATACAACAATCACAAAAATTACAAAAAATACACCTCTTGGGGAGACCCCAGCTAAAGGTAAGAATAAAGCCAGAAACTCACAAGCGACAATCAACATATAAATGGAGTTTCACGGCCACCCGAGTGAAAAATATATTTCACGACTACCGCATATCACCGCGAATATCGCGTTTTTCACCGAAAATTACGACGCCACTTCACATAAAACGGGTTATGAAACTCCAACAATATAACCATTCAATTACTCCTTCATAATAAACTTCATACCAAAATTTCCCAAACTCTCACCGCAACCATAACAACAATAACAAAAGATATCAAAACCAGAGCAATACAATCCTCCCCTTCCCCCCTCTTATTACGGTGCTCCCATCAGTTTTAGTGAAAATATTCTTTCCGCGCCAAAGCTCACACAAGGTATGGGACAATCTTCCCGCAACTCGGGTTCGTTATCACTGTGATAAGCAACTCCTAAAATACGGAAAAATTCCAATTTCGATTATTTATAAATTTTCACTACCCGCCCTTCCAGAGTGATAAACGTTCGCCACACAGTAATTGAAATTTACTTTATCCTCTCCATAAATCGGTCTGAGAAACTGCCTCTAAATTTTTCCCCAAAACCGGACGTTTTAACCCACGCTAAAACGCTCTTCACTCGGTGCATTATACCCAACACAAACGGCGGAAACGCATCTGCCACATATTCGCTCTCAGAAAAGGTATACCTATCGAAAACCATCACCAACATCACCAACAACTGCTCCAATTCTTCACTTACCGCATGCCTTTCGGTGACGAAAATTGCACAATATCTCTTCCATAACTCACAGTATTCCAACACACATGTTGTTCACTCATGAGCATTGATAAATATAATTCACTCTCCTCAACAGAAAATACGCCACTTTGATATCGAACATCACAGCCTAATAACGGGAACCTAAACCCCAAAGATTCATTTCGTGCCCCCGAAACAAGATACAAATCAGGTCCGACTTGATCATAGTCATCGGGGGGAATTCCGAACCATGTATAGTAACCAGTGCTCTTCCTCCTTCTTCTTCATGAGCCTCACACGGTCGCATATCACCAAAGCCATGAGCGAATCGGCACCAATCGCCATGAACACAGCGCCGTCCATGTTCCCAATACCAGCATAGATACCGCTTATGATGCTTATCATCGTTGGAAGAAGTGGATCTGATATTTATGCAACTTTTACGACTACAATTATCTTCGCGCGATTCCCTACTTTATATGTAAAAAAAAACAAAAAATCACTTTCGCTCTCCATAAAATGCTCTTCCCATCAGTGCATCACTTACTCTGAATTGGAGCTTCCATCAGATCTACTGTGCTCGCTTGACCCCACTGTATGAGCTAAGGCTTGATCCCACGTCGTAGGCTTTTTATGGAGCATCGCTAACAAGAGCTCACCTGTGAAGAAAGAGGTCCTAGTATGGAATATATTACATATATAAACTACACGGTGATAACAAAAATTCACCCTAGTGATATGAAAAACGTATTTCACGACTGCTGCATATCGCCGCGAATATCGCGTTTCTCACCGAGTTTTACGACGCCACTTCACGTAAAACCGATTACGTAAAATAAAAATAAAACTCCAATGTAAAATATCAAATCATCAACATCATAAGCCGCGCGAAATTCAAGAATGTCGAAATTAAATTCTTCGCACTTTATACGATGAATGTGAAAACACTGCGCGGGGGGAAACATGCACATGGTCATCAACTGCATGTGTTGGTGATGATGACAATATGAAAATGTGAGGGGAAAGGGATATGCACATGGTCATCAACTACATGTGTTGGTGATGATGACAATATGAAAATGTGGGGGGGGAAAGGGATATGCACATGGTCATCAACTACATGTGTTTGTGATGATGACAATATGAAAATGTGGGGGGAAAGGGATATGCACATGGTCATCAACTACATGTGTTGGTGATGATGACAATATAAAAATTATGAGGAAATTCTCATTGGTTTCTGTACACTTTTATAACTAGCTTTGGAAACTCCCGAGCTGAGGAAAGCGAACATATATTCCTACTCCAACACTTCCAAAAATAGAGTAGTACTCCCACCGCATATTGACGATATAATCATACTCAAGTTTTAAGATAAACTAAAAGTTGCTGGAAGTGTGGTATGAAAATACCATAAATTCACCTCCGTTTTCCTTCCTGTGATGTTCATCGCCTTTCTGAAGAAGACTTAATAATTCAGCTCCGCTTGAATTGGTCATAGTAGCAATAAGAAGAATGCCTATAGCAAGCACCAAGATAACCTTGCTTCTCTGTAGTTAGTAGTAGTAGTAGTACCAGTAGTAGTAGTAGTACTAGTACTAGTAGTAGTAGTAGTAGTAGTAGTAGTACTAGTACTACTAGTAGTAGTAGTACTAGTAGTACTAGTAGTAGTAGTAGTAGTAGTAGTACTAGTAGTAGTAGTAGTAGTAGTAGTAGTAGTAGTAGAACCGAGCGAACACCATCATCATCACTTGAAACCTTCCTCAACAACGAGCAATACATGATTTAATAATCATCACTTCTTCTTCTTCTTCCAGTTGCACTCAGGGGCAACTACCTATTCCTCCTCCAACCTCTGAGTATTCATCCCACCTGCTGCTACCATTGGGATGGCTTGCTGCTACATCATAATAAAGTTGTTAGTAAATGCATAATTGAGAATTTCTAAGAGACTCAAGTTTCCAAGAGATCATCAAATGCTACCGTTCGGCGCAAACAAACCGTGTCACTAAACTTTGTGTCCTAAATCACTAAATTAGACGCGCGCGCCCCTGTGATCGGTTTATGCGCGCCTAAGGTTAAGAAAAAGAACATCCTTCACACCGTTTTCAGGTGTATGGATAGACAAACATATAACCCGACTAACCGCTATTATTATATGCCGTGCTGGCCTTTCCCGCATGAGGTATGATCCTGCTATTACTACCCGCTACCGCTGGATTCCCCTCCGTCAGCGTAAGTGGTTATCTTTTGACGAGAAGAGAGAGAGGCACCGTGCCTCAGGCACGCCTACGTCGGAGAGACTGCTCAAAACTTCCTCCACGCGAATGGTATCAACGAAAGCTGGCTGAACAGTTGTTCGATTAAGTGGGTGAAAAATCTCGCGTGTCAAGACTTGAGACGGAGGTTATATCATTTGCTACTACTTGCCAGGTTCCACAAAGATCCAACAGGGTTCACGACACGTCAGAGAAAACGTCTTCGAGAGGTCTGGCATCGGTACTCAGTCTTCCATTAACCTACCGTGGCACGGTAACCGTGCTTCTTTCGCCGGAAAAATGCATTGCCGTGGATGCCAAGAAACTTTTATCATCTAATAATCAGAGGCTTAGAACCGATTACTTCTCTGTCAACCCGCAAAACCAACAACTCAACTCGTAATGCATCGATGAATTCACTTTCCACTCAATAATTCTGGTCAAAAGTTTCGCTGACAAGTCCCCAAGTTGAGCAATCAAGTGCAAGTACCTCAAAGTTTGAGGCTCAAACATTCCACCACTCCTGTGGTCGACCGAAGCTCGAGAAGCCCATCAGCATCATTAATAAGTGGTCTTCACTGAGTCATACTGTTCGAAGTATAGTGATCTGCATACATCAATGATATAGTGTTGGGTTTCGCAGCTCGAAAAACTTGGAAGGTGAATCAAAATGTAGCTCACAAAACGAGTGTCGAGTTTTCCCAATGAGACATGGACTTGAGACAGATCCGCCTGGCCCGCTGAACCCTCTTCGTAAACTTGCTTGAAGGAAGTTGCTTCCCTCCGGGTTTTTGGTTCATCTGTTTCCCTAACGCCGTTGAAACGAAGTCGCGCTTTATATCGACTATGAGGGCGCGCGCTGAGATTTAGTGATTTAGGACACAAAGTTTAGTGACAGTGTTTGGACACGCCCTACCGTTCTTGTAGTGGCGCAAACAGACGGTGTCACTAAACTTGGTGCGTATTGTCAAACTTGTGTGCGTATTGCCGAACTAGTGTGGTTTATTGTCATTCTTGATTGTGATATATTCTGCCGGTGTCAAACATGAATTCTCACTATCAATCTTGCTTGTAACATAATTGAACTCTGACAAACTTGGATTTTCATTGTCAATCTTGATGGTAACATATCTCGATTGTGACATACTTGAATTCTCAAAGTCAAACTTGATTGTAACAGAATTTAATTGTGACAAACTTGAATTCCCATTGTCACTCTTGATGGTAACATTGTCATTCTTGTCTGCTCACTTGTCAAACTTGCACGGGAAATGGTGTAGAGACGTAACAAAACGATAAGCAAACCGACAAAGTAACAATAACAAATTGTACAAGGAAACAGAAAGGGAAGAAACAATCGAATGCTCAGATGTTAGCCACAACAATGAACATTATAGCTGAGTTTCCAGGAACACCACGAGGAGGTCTCTGAGCTCGTTTCCATCTAACAGTAAATCTCAATACATTCGTTCTTGAACTAGCCCCATAAATGGACCTTCATTCTAAACGTGGTTTAAGCGGCAGCAGAAGAATGCAGCCTTGTGACCAGCCGTACTTTCCCCCTCACTCTTGCTTCATCATTCAGCATCGGCTCAAGGCCTTTCTCGAGTACTAACACATCAGATGGCTTCACGTGGAAGGATTCTTGATCCGGTCCGAGACGTCCGGGTTCTTTGCTTGATGCTAAATTTTCCAACCTGTCGAGAGTCTCGACAGGTTGGAAAATTTAGAGAGACTCGAGACTGTCTCTGAAACGACGAGGCTTGCGAGATTCTATCCCTTCGGCTTAACGGGTTCGCTGGTTATGCAGTGCATAATATGCACGAAAGGCGTGGGATCATATCTGGAACTGGTCGCTGGTGGAACGCTAGGCCAACAGTGACTGAAACGCCTACTTTGCCTTCGTTCTGAGGTATCAGCGTCAAAACCTGGAAAGAAATTTGGGGTTTGGAAGGACTCGGAAAAGGGTTGAATAGAAATTTGGGAGAATGGTTCTCCTTAGCCCGTGGACAGAACGTCCATGAGTGATCTGGTCCGCTCCGCCCTGGCTCCGAGCACGCGGCGCACCTATGGTCCGGGTGAGAAGCTGTTCTGAGACGTCATCCTGGGTTCCGAACTTCGGACTCCGAAGGTCGGTCTCGACAAGAATCTTGTCACAGGATGTATCCCTTATCGGCCGAGTCGGTGCTCACATTCGTCTATATTTTCAACAAGGTGGGGTATGCGTACTCCACCATAGAAACTTATGCAGCAGCTCTGAAAACACGGCACATCGAGGTCGGACACATTTTCTCACAAACCGCAGTTAAACACATCCGAAGGGCACTTATAGTCGTCCGGAAGAAGAACTCTGGTGCTAGCGCTGAGCCCGCTGCCAAGCTTCCAGTCACGATCAGCCAGACACGTCAGGCTCTCAAAGCATGCGTGAAAGAAAAAAAGAGATCAGGCATCACTCTTCTGGTATGCGTTTTCGGTCTGCTGAGATGCAGAGAGTGTCAAGGCCTGAGGTGTAATGACATAACGTTTAACACCATAGACGACATGGATGTCGTGCCACTCTACATCAATCGCAGCAAATGTGATCGTTTTGGCGAAGGAGCTCTCGTCCGGACTCCGGATAGGGTGTGCAGTCGTACTCGCACTGCGACCTTCAAGCCCGACTCTTCATGGACAAGCCTAGCTTGTCTCCAGACCCACGTGTTTCGAGTGTAGTAATTTAAAGGGCAGTCTGGAACTTCGAAGGTAGGAGGGGAATTGCCAGGGCCCCAGCAGAAAATTAAGGGCACCAAAGCGGGGGCCATGGGTTGGTGATTTTAGCGGGTTTTGGGCGGAAATGGAGGTCGACCGTCAGCTTTCCAGGGCAAACACTGATGACTCATCACTGACGAGTCCATAACTCATACATATGATGTACAAGGTCGAACATCCAATCGAGGTGTAATACACGGAACTTCGGTGACCGATTCGGTCAGACCGAAGATCGTTGATTGCAAACAGATTCTGTTTAACAGAACACTTGAAGTATTGCATCTCGAATGAAAGTGGCGCTGAAGTTCAGTGAATATAACAACCCACCGCAGTTCACAGGATAGCAGACTATATATAGGTTTAAGGTCGCTAAATGCTACATGCTAGCGAATCAATGGCTTGAATTCTGTATCAGACACATCAACTCAAAACATTTAGCTAAGAGACTAAGTAAGCTAATTGAACCTATCGGATAGGTTCATCCTGCCCGATGTGCTCGAGGAATTCTTCCTTAAGCCAATTACTTGACATACGTGCTCGTTTACGATGTTCAAGGTTTGAAAGTGATAGTGTTAGCATAGAACAATCTAACCAGGACGTCGCACGAGTTTATTCAAAAAGAGTACACCTTACCTGGGATTCTCTCTGAGACTTCTCTACCGTGATCCGTCAATACCATCTCGACTCTGATATGCGTTTTGTGCCTCTGCAGCGGGTTGGAATTCTTGACCGGCCTACCCGCCCAGGTGACTGTAGGAAACTTCGCCAACATAGCATCGGCCACCCGACTGCGTTGATCAGCTTCCGCTCGAGCAGGGCGCAGCCCTCCAGGATCATAGTCAAACGGATCAGATTGGCCAATACCGCGAGTGTTTTCCTCCCATGAACGTCCAGCAGGTTAGGTTGACGCCGTAGAAGATATTCTGAGGGTTGTAATGCAACATGAATATGTGGCGCTGCAGGGAAAACACCAGTTGCTGAGTTGCACCTCCTCCAGTACCAACATTCCCAGGGGCGAAAGCCGGACCCATCTTGCACATAGAAGCTATCAAAGTATGCCATATTTAATATGGTGATATTGCCCGAGTGAAGCGTATCTGCGGCAGGCTGCCGTAATGTCATTATGCAGCTGCCGCCGGCAGCTGCATAATAGGATCATCACCGTGATGACATCACGGCACCACAGCATGTTCACTTTGGAGCTCATCACTGGAGTTTAGCGGTCAAATGTAGTTCCTTGTTCGGCAATATGATGCACTCATGATAAACTCAAGAAGCTCCAATATTTAAATACGTGTAAGTTAAATCCTAATCTGCTGACATAACGGGCTCATTAGCCGAAGAATAATATCTCAATGAAACGAGTTATTCGTCAAATAGCATTCCTCTAAATAAAAGATGTAGCACCACGCTACTATAATGGCGAATCCAGCTAAAGCTCTTTCCACGGAGCAGTCATGGAATGGCCAACCATAATGGAGGGCGTGCTGCCGTGGACCGTAGATTCAAAAGAAGACCACAAAAGAAGAGAATGGTTCACAGAGATCGCGATTTCAACTTCCCGATTCCGACTCGTTTGTAAGTAGGGTCGAACTCAAAATAATTACCGATAAGCATACGATCGAAGAGAATCCAAATATTCCCTTGGCCCTCCCAGATCACGAGTGAACATTCATTAGATTTATTCCTGGCATAGTTCATGTATGTCATCGTGAATGGAGTTATGCCCTTAGGGCCCAAGCCAAACCTCAACAGTGGCAGCTTGCTCATGTGTTGGCAAGGGAAGAACCATATCTTTTTCCCTGGATCGAACTTGAAGTCGACATGCATACCCGCAGCCTTGTCAGTTTGAGTTTTGATATCCTTAATGAGATCGTCATAGTATAATTGTGGGACGAATAGGAAGTTGGTGCCGGTGTCGAGGTGTAAGTTCATATTGATGTTAAGAGTTAGATGTCCATCACCGACTTGTAGCTTATCAAGATTTACCATGTAACGCTTGTCCGTAGAGAAGTCGACGAAGTTCAGTCCACCCACATATAATGCAGGATCGCCTCCACCCAGGAGTAGGCCTCCATCAGCGGCTGGCTTTGAGGGATCAGCGGGAGGATACAAGTAGAGAGCAAAGATACCCGTCGTTACAGTTTTTGATGATAGCAACTGCGTCATTAGAGAGGGGAAGTTCACATCACCTTTATCATAGTCAAGACCCATCGAGTTAGTCGGAGCCTTCTCACTGACGGGAGGATTCTGGTTGAATATCAGTCCGAAAGTGAGGATCGGCGACACCTGACCCACCGTCAATTTCGCTTTATGCTGAAAAATGTTCACCGTGTATCCGTCATCGAAAGTAATAGTTGTAGTCGGTTTACCCACAGAGCAAGGCTCCGAACATTTGTAACACCCCATGGCCCAATCACTGCAGGGACGTCCACTGGCTTTCTCTAACCATTTCTTCCAGATGAGAAAGAATGAGTCCGACCCAGTGTCAACGAGAGCATGTAGCTTCTGGCCATTCGGGTCGACCAGAGTATGGAACAATCCAAAGCCATGCTTAGGCATAAGTCCGTACTTGACATCCAGCTTGAGAGTTTCTCCCCGGGAGACCTTCAACACGTGAAATGAATAGACCAAGACGAGCAGTCGAACGGGCATAGGAGAACGCATTTTGGTCAATATTTTGGAGCTCAACAGAGCCAAGTGCCACGTTTTTGTCTCACGGTTCGTGCGCACCTGCTGGCTCGCGGCAGCAAGTCTCGGCAACCGAAATCATCAAAAGAAAATCAACGGTTTCAATTCGGTTTTGATCGGTTTACTGACCGAACCGGCGGGATTCATCTCCCGATCGAAACCGAAAATCCCCGATTTTCTCGGTTGTTCGCTCTTTTTTCCCGGCACAGTATACTTATGCGTTCCGTGCGACACAATCTGTGCCACACAACACGGTATAGAATGGATCCCATCTAGGTCCGCAACTAGTAGCGTATTTCTTTCTTAGGCAAATTCAAAAAAATCTGTGTTTCTCGTTGACGAATGAGAGTTTTGAGATGAAACTCCAACAGGATATAGTGATTACCATGATACATCACATGTTGAGTCGAAACGGTTATGTTCGGAACGGTTACTGATATATCATGGCGAGCGAAATAATCACCCCCGCGAACCGTGCAGATTCCTTAGGCAACACAACTTGATCTCGTTATTATGCCACAGAAATTGCTTCTAACCGACGCCGTCGTAGTTAAGAGGCTTGCTGAAGGGGCTAAGAACCTCGAAGTTGTGAAGGAGCTTGGAAGGGACCACCGTACTATCAAGAAGTACCTGGAGGACCCTTCTAAGGTCTACCAGAGGGGGGTGGGCCGTACGAGAAGTCTGTTACGCCACGAGAGAAGAGAAAACTCAAGAGAGAGATGGTTAGAGCCCCGCTAGCCACCAGCAAGGAGTTGTTTGACGCGGCGGAGGTGAGTAAAGGGAGCAAAAGCACCAGGTGCAAGGTGCTGAAGAGCATAGGGAAGGTCTTGAAAGCCAACCCCAGGCCTTCCTTGACGAAAACCCATAAGGAAGAGAGGGTGCGATGGGCCAAGGATAACATGAAGACGGATTTCTCGAAGGTGCTGTGGACGGACGAGTCACGAGCGACGCTGGACGGCCCCGATGGGTGGGCCCGAGGGTGGATTATGGATGGTACTTGTCCGAGCCGATCCAAGCGTCAACAGGGAGGAAGTGGCGTCATGATTTGGGCCGGGATCATCGAAGGAAAGGTCTTCGGTCCCGTGAGGGACCAACAAAAAGTGAAAATGAACTCGCAAGAGTGAGATAGAGCCTACGGCTGGGATGATGCAGTAGTGAGCCACGCAGGTACACTAAACTTCTCGACCAGTGCTTCTTCCCATGGTATCGGAAGCCCGGGAGGGCGGCCAAGCGCGACCTGATATTCATGCAATGCCCCCTGCCATGCCAGCAAGTTTACCAAGGACTGCCTCGAGAAGAAAGGATTTACCAGCAGAAAGCTCATGAATTGGCCTCCCAATTCGCCGGATATAAATCCGATTGAACGGTATTGGAGCATCTTGAAGAAGTGAGACCTCGTTTGAGCTTGTTCACATGTAGTAGGCCCGTCTTAGGAAGTTGTACTCTGGAGGGAGGTAGTTTAACGACCTCGAGTCTCTGTGGAGATGTATCCAGGAAGCTGCTTAGGGTGAAACATGTGAAAAACTTTTTCGGAGACCCGCCCGGCCGGGGGTCACAGGGGGCCCGCCATGCCGCTGGGGTGTTTAAAATGTACATGCAATTTTCTTGTATCGTGCTTTTGTTTACGTTTTTCATAGAATGAATACGTCGCCGACGATTCATGCGAATTCATGTATTCATGCGAAGTATTCATAATGAGCCGACGTAACGTCGGCTCATGGATGACAGCTATTGATAGCTACGATTTCTGTAGCTACCTTGTCGTTGATACGCAGTGTCTGATGACCGCAGATACTTGAGTGCAGCTCAGAAGCGCTCGATCGTGAAACTGGGAGGCGAGGAGACTAGAAAACAATGTATAGCTGCTGCAGACTGCAGCCTGCAGTAAGTTAAGCTTTCTGGGTCGAAGACTTCGACTGAGATCATCTCAGTCGAAGTCTTCGACTGAGTCATCTCAGTGAGATGGCATCTCAGGTGGTTAATAGTTAAACTATTATAGTTTTGACTGCAGCGACCTGATCAAGGATTTTTCTGAACGAAAAGCACGGAGGATACCAGTCGCCGTTCCACTAACAGATCATACCCAAGACGAAAGGCCGCTGGATGTCTTCCGGCTGATGCGATGTATTCTACTATCGCGAATGTCAGCGAATGTCCTCAGTGATAGGATTGCTGCAGTTCAATCGCAGAATACGCCGTATTCTGCGATTCTACCGTATACAGTACGGTAGATGTTCTACCGGAATTGATGTCTCTATGTGCGAAAAAGGAGTTATTATTATTTCGAAATCGAAGTTCCTAATTTTTTTGTCGAAATTGGAGTTCCTAAGTCGACGCGCCAATGAAATTGAAATTCCTAAACCGATATGTTGACGAAATTGGATTTTTTTTTTTCTCATGACAGTTCGAGGCGATCACGAATCATCGGAGCTAACCCCTCCCCTCTTCCCCCCTCCGACAGCCCGTGTCGCGAAGAGCCCTCGGGTGCACACAAGTCTGGTATCGAGGACCCTATCCTCAGCAGGGGAGCTTTTATCACAGGAGTCCCTAGGGGCGAACCCATGGTCGACAAAGCCGTGACTTTCCGTGATGCGAAGGGAGAAGGGAAAGATGGAGGTGATCTCACTCCGAGGAAATCTATTGGTAAAAATGGTGGGATGGCTTCTCGCTCGCTTGGACACCGTGGGGATCCGGCTTCGAGTAAAGTCAATTGGCATGATTCATGCGCTGACGACAGCGACGTGGAGATTGATGAGGCCTGCACTCATTCGTTGGAAAACTATGATTTCGGTGATTTCTATCCGAATCCGTCTCGCGCCGAATTGAGTCCACGCTCGCTTGTGTCTTTCGAAGAAGAAATGGTTAATTCTGTCAGCGTGGAAATTGGGGCCCACGGGAGTCTGGTCCAGCGAGTCTGGACGAGCTCCTCAATAAGTTCAACGGTGTGTCGGCTTCTCTTTAGCGGCCTTCGGAAGTGATTGGCGCCGTCGCTGGCGTCCTAGACCTTCTACCCCCTGAGCACCAGCTTAGAGGCCAAAAGGTCTTACAAGTGCTAACCAAGCACCACCTTACGCTGATCGAGGGCGCGGCGCGTCCGGCCTCTATTCTCACCCCTCCCCACCGCACTGAAGCGGCGCCATCCGCTGTTCTGACACCCCTTGCCACTAATCCCTCACCGCGCACCGATAGCTCCCACCTCGTATGTACAGCTCGCGAGGCACCGACCTCTGCTCCGGTACCCTCCCCCGCGGCCCAACCCTCCCATACGTAGACAGTGTGTGGTGACTGACACAGACCTGTCTCCCTCAGCTATTAGCTAAGCTATGTAGTTCCCATTTGCTATAGCTCTTGTATACTTATATCCTCCTATGATACATACAGTTCTTGCGTTCCACAAAGTGGTAGCAGCTCCTACTGGTCAACATGACAAAAGCAAGTAATGAAGAAACGTCGACATCCACCGTAAGTAAATACACTGCTGTCCCTAAGCCCTATTCTGGTATTGGAAGTTTTCGTGAGTGGCGTCTCCGTTTTGCTTACTGTCAAGAAGCCAATGGTTGGACTGACGAGACCGCCTTGGAGAAGTTACCGACTTTATTGGAGAAGGTTGCATTGGTAATGTTCACCAGGATACCTGCGGAAAATAGGAGTACCCTATCTAAAGCCATGCAGAAGTTGGAAGACGAGCTTGCTCCCGAGCAAAGTACTGCCTTTATACCAGTTTCCCGTTTGATCAGTTTTCTAATGCTAAGTATGATTCTACTGATAATTTGGACCTCTATGCCTATAAGCTTACGGAGTTGCTGGAGTCTAGCGGACTGACGTTAGACAGCAAGTCAAGGGATGCTTTGCTCATAGCTAAGTTCATAGCTTCACTACCTACTGACCTACAAGTTGATCTGAGAAAGTCACGAGAATCTATTCATAGTCTACAAGATGCATTACGTATGGCTAAGAGACTCCAAGCTATCCAGACGACTCCCTCATCGAGTAAATCTAATACCGGTTCCAATGCGAGTACTGGTACTACTCCAATTACTCACGACGCACCACTAGAAGCCCCTACTGTTGATGCTGTGAATCTACCATCAGTTCAACTTAACGATCCTCTGACGAAGTCCGACCCTGCTGTAGCAGCGATTGCTGACCTTACTGAAGCTATCCGACAAGAACAACAACTCATGGTGAACTTCATTTCCCGGCGTGGTAAAGGTAAAGGCGGATTCTACCGCTATGGTCGTTATCAACCCTCAAGGAGACCTGGAAGGAACAATTATACATACAATCGTCGTAGTTTCCCTCAACGTAGGTCGTGGTCTTCTACCTGTGACTACTGCGGTATCCCTGGTCATCTTTGGCGTGAGTGTCGACGGCGTCTCCGAGACCAGCAAGCATCTCCTGATTATGGGAATCGGAATAATCGTTTTCCACGGAATGGACGAAGACCTGACAATCAAAACCGTTCATTTAACCAAACTGCCAATCATGAAGATGATGTTAGTATGTACGATGTTACTAATACTGTCGATACCATTGAGTATGATAATTTTTCGGAAGACGAGTACGGGACAGGGATGAACCGCGTTCACCTGTCCCGCCCACAGTAAATTGTTCCACTAATCATTCATCGCGGTTACTTTACCCTGTTACTGTATATAATCATAAATGTAATTTATTTATCGATACTGGTAGTGAATATTCTCTAGTTGATAGACGATATGTTGATAAGTTAAGATCTAGTAATGTATTGCAATATAGTAATGAATCATCACACCAATTGTTCACTGCTGATGGTAAACCACTTCCGTGTATTGGTACTGTAATTTTACCATTGTGTTTTTCGTCTAAAAAGTTAGTGAAATATCCGTTCATAATTGTAGAACATATTGTTGAAAATATCATTGTTGGACGAGCACTACAGCGTGCTATTGGATTGAAGATCGATCAGTCTACTACACCACCTTCGTTGTCCCTTCATCTCTCAGATACCACATCCGATCATCCCGTACAACCACACAGCCAGTCTCTCTCAAAGGCGCCCGCTCCTCAACATGTAACCTCGTTCGTCCATCAAGTACCTCATGAAGACCATAATACTACTGCATCTATTTTACCCTCACACCTACATATACTCGCTACTGTACAAGATCTGGGATGGATTACTCTTTACCTTACTTATGATGCTGTCAAGAAGACTAAATGCTTTACTGTGGAGATCAAGAAGGGTACCATAAGGCCCATGAATGTCGCAGAGTATAAACGGTATGGAAGGTTACATACTCGTATGGCGAACTGCCCTAAGCAAGACCTAGAAGATTCGGTGAATATATGGCATAAATGGCAACAAGCGGGTAAAGTTGTACGGCTACCACCACGTTCAGAGGCCACTACTATCCAGAATTATTATGTTGTACGACGAAAACGTGCCAGAGTTATCTTGACATTCCTAATAGGAATTTCCTATATGTGAATAACTACCTCCACGACAAGTGCAGTGACATGGCTTTTAAGCAGTCCCAAATCCCAGACGTGTTACTTGAAGCTAGACTATTTACTTCACATGCTACTTTGGATATAAGTGATGCATTTACATGTATTCGGCTGGGCCAGTATTTCTCTACGTTGACAGACACCCGAGTCCTACTATCTGATGGTTCTTATTGTACTATGCGATTCCTATCATTACCATATGGGATAAATGTTGCTCCATGGTGTTTGGAAACCTCAGTAAGATATGTCTTACATCTAACCCCTTTAAAGCAACCATCTATGTGCAAAAGCTATATGGACGACATTTTGGTGGCTACTTATGGGCATGCTATTGAAGAATTAGCTATTATTAACGACGCCCTCGGGCACTACGACTTCCTTATATCGTCCCATAAGATCTTCGATATGGACATCCAGCCAACAAGTGATATCTTGGGAGTTACTATTGTCAACAAGCACGGTAAAAAATATATCACTATAAGTAAGCCTAAGAATAATAAATGTAAGTCAGCATTGAGAACTATCCTCAACGAGCCCAGCATTACTTATCAGAATCTGCATTCATTGGTTGGTTGTATCCCTAAGTATCCAGTGTACAATCCTTGGCTGGTGTCCCTCTGCCATGTTGTAATAAGTTGGTCAGTAACATTATAAGATAGGGTAGAAATCGAGATAGCTCAACAGATGAAGATCGTGAGGATAGTACTACGACTTATTGGAAAGTGTCCGAACTAGAAGTTTCGGGATGGTTAGGGGAATATTGTGTCCAAGAGGTTGTTAGTCAAAAGCGTCTACGCTGGTTTGGTCATGCCCTAAGACAGCCCAAAGGTATGATTCAAAGAGACTGGATTGAATCACAAATCGAGACTGATTCTAAGTGGATGAAGTTGGTCAGAAGGGACGTTGAGGATCGTGGTGGAAGATGGAAATATATCCGGCAGACGGTGTTGGCATAAATTTACTATTATTCGTAGCGCGCATGTCCCATAGTTGGATCTAAGCGCTAAATGAATGAATGAATGAGTAGTAGTAGTAGTAGTAGACTACTACTACTAGTAGTAGTAGTAGTAGTAGTAGTAGTAGTAGTAGTAGTAGTAGTAGTAGTAGTAGTAGTAGTAGTAGTAGTACTAGTAGTAGTAGTAGTAGTAGTAGTAGTAGTAGAACCGAGCGAACACCATCATCATCACTTGAAACCTTCCTCAACAACGAGCAATACATGATTTAATAATCATCACTTCTTCTTCTTCTTCCAGTTGCACTCAGGGGCAACTACCTATTCCTCCTCCAACCTCTGAGTATTCATCCCACCTGCTGCTACCATTGGGATGGCTTGCTGCTACATCATAATAAAGTTGTTAGTAAATGCATAATTGAGAATTTCTAAGAGACTCAAGTTTCCAAGAGATCATCAAATGCTACCGTTCTTGTAGTGGCGCAAACAGACGGTGTCACTAAACTTGGATGCGTATTGTCAAACTTGTGTGCGTATTGTCAAACTTGTATGGTTTATTGTCATTCTTGATTGTGATATATTCTGCCGGTGTCAAACATGGATTCTCACTATCAATCTTGATGGTAACATATCTCGATTGTGACATACTTGAATTCTCAAAGTCAAACTTAATTGTAACAGAGGGCCTGTTTCATAGGAGCAAATTGCGCCTTAAACTTAAGTAACGCCTTAAGTATACCTTAAGTAATTAGGCCATCCTATTTCACTACTTAAGTAAGCACGTTAAGGCGCCTTAAGTTTAGGAATACTTAAGGCGCCTTAAGTTTCTGTGCATATACTTAAGTATTTACGAGAAGCATTTCACAACATGCGTACTTAAGGAGCAACTTAAGTATTCCTTAAATTTTATTAAGGTAGAGCCGACCCTACCTAAACAGATACTTAAGTATCGTGTTTGCATATTGCATCCTACAGGGGTTGAACCAGGGACCCTTCGAAGGACAATGCTTGAATATTGTATCTCGCGGAGGTCGAACCGGAGACCTTACGAATGGCAGCACGGTGCTCTGCCAGTTGAGCTAGAGAGGCAAAGAAGGCAAACGATGAGTTCACTCCTTCAACTCAGCGGAAATCAAACCGACTGAACTTATTATAGTGATGTCCATGTTTGATTGTGTTCGTTTCGGTTCCCACCATAACTTTTTGAACACAAGATTTACAATTCACCGAAACCCAGACACCTTGTAATGCAAGCCATGCCAACGTATTACGTTGAACGTAACAACTCGTACCAAACGAGATTTTTTTGCCTTGTAGTAGTCGAGCTTGCTCAAAACCGCCTGATACTTTACACGAGCTGTTTTAACGCGTAGTTCATGCAATTCTCGTGCTTCAGCCGCTTTTTTCATGCTATCATCCTTCTTTTCGTACAGTTCGTTATCAATGATCGACGAAAGTAGTTGTGAAGCAATTAATTACGAAAAACATCACACCTTAGATTCGATCCTGCACGTTTCGGATGACGACAGACCAACCTAACCACTCAAGTATTTGAGCCATATTAAAAAATGTATTACTATATTCTTTACCTGTCACCATGGTTAAGTAGATACTTAAGTACGCCTTAAGTTAAGGAGCTCCTTAAGTTGCTCCTAAACGTTGTGAAATGAGTTGAGTACTACTTAAGTATACCTTAAGTAACTCCTTAAGTTGCTCCTAACTTTAAGGCGCCTTAAATTAAGTATCCTTGTGAAACAGGCCCATTATTCATAGAATGAATACGTCGCCGACGTATTAATGCAAAATTCATTCATAATGAGCCGACGTAACGTCGGCTTATCGATGACAGCTATTGCTAGCTGCGATTTCTGTAGCTACTTTGTCGTTGATGCACAGTGCCTGATGACCGCAGATACTTGAGTGGAGCTCAGAAGCGCACGATAGTGAAATTGAGAAAAGAGGAGACTAGAAAACAATGTATAGCTGCTGCAGCCTGCAGTAAGCTTTCTGAGTCGAAGACTTCGACTGAGTCATCTCAGTGAGATGGCATCTCAGGTGGCTGATAGTTAAACTATTATAGTTTTGACGGCAGCGACCTGATCAAGGATTTTTCTGAACGAAAAGCACGGAGGATACCAGTTGTCGTTCCACTGACAGATCGTACCTAAGACGAAAGGCCGCTGGATGTCTTCCAGCTGGTGCGATGTATTCTACCATCGCGAATGTCAGCGAATGTCCTCAGTGATAGGATTGCTCCAGTTCGATCGCAGACTTCTACGGTAGAAGTTCTACCGGAATTGATGTTCCTATGTGCGAAAAAGAAGTTATTAGTACCTTACGGTTTCATGGCAAGTCGCTCTCACATCCTTACGATTTGGGGGGTTGGCGTAAGGTAAGGTGGTATAAGGCTCCTCACCGTAAGGCTCCTTACCGGGTAAGGCTTACCCTACAAGGTGCAAGGAGGGCCTCCTCATGTGGGGCGATTTCATAGGAGGCATTTTTGGGCCCCTCCTTGCGATCCTTACGTAAGGTGCCGTAAGACTGCTCGGGGTGTACTTTACGCACCTTATCGCACCCTCCTTGCCATTTTATGCGAGCTTCGCTCCGCTTATTCCCTACAGCCCGCGCGTCTCACCCGCGGATGATCTATCCCCAAACCATGCATTTTTACCGCATACTCGTCTTGGCGTGACCGATTGCTCTCAAATGAGTTGATGGTAAAGTTTTCGAGTTTGTTTTTTCTAATGGCAATAACCATATCCTTAGCTTCATTGAAACACTGCGTCGACTCTTTCATGCGCATCAATGTTTGTTTAGGTGCTCCTCGTGCTCCTTATTGGGGTTCACGAGGTGCACCTTAAATTTAGGAGCATGAGGTGCAACTGTAGCGAAAGCACCTCGCGTAAGGTGTAAGGCTCCTTGCCCCTTGCTCCTAAATCCAAGGTGCACCTTAAGGAGCGTTTCTTGTGAAATAGGCCCCTGAAGTAGAGGCTGAAGAGGTGTAGAGAGGAAACTCCTGAGCTCGGCTGAGGAAAGCGAACATATATTCCTCCAACACTGGTCTCAGGTCGTAATACTCATTCTCCTTCTCAGAGGAGGTAATCTCAGGGAATCCCTCAGGAGAGGGCTCTTTGGTATTAGCTACCTCAGCAGTGATCATATCTCAACCAGATGGGTCTACCGATTTTAGTGAGCGCATGATGCCTTCGGCAAAAATCGATTACAATGGCGTGCCCGAACACTTTCGGAAGGTAAGCGAATTGGACATGAAACCCTGACAGGGTTCTGACTGAGATCCAAGGTGGCCGTGATCCTTTATCCTTATTCCTGCCACTAATTTTTTCGGCCTCGGGGCCGAGTGTCCGCACAATCCGGGTCGAGTGTCCGCACCCGCGGAAGGTGTGCTTAAAACCTTGGAGTAGGCGGGCCTCCGGCCCGCCGTTACCCAAAGATCCTTCGGGCTTCCACGTAGCATCCCACTGATGCCGATAAGAGCCACTGGTACGAACTACTAGACGCGCGCGCTATTTTCGTGCAAGTTGCATGAAATCACACTGTGGTGGCTGAAACTGCCGTCACTGACGACCCGTGAACTGCGGATGCTATCCTCAACATGGAGTAATCGGTGTCCTTCATGGTTATTCTCAAGTGTGATGAATGACATCGTGTTCATTTCTAATCGTGCAGAGTAAGACTTACTCAGTAAGTTCGAAAGGAAAATTCCATTTTTTACAATTTATTTTACAAGGTTTAAGTGTATCCAGG